ACCAAGTACAAATAATACACATGATGAACTCCACACAATAAAACAGGGTACCTAGATTTATGTCTCTTTATGTCGACATTACAACCCATTTCTGATTCAAATTCTTCCAAAGTCTTAATGCTATTTACATAACGAAATCATGCGGAAAGGGGGTATACTACTGGTTCATGGAAGATTTGTCAGAAAAAGAAATGGAAGCCGAAAAGTAATAAGTAATGAGAGGCTAAGGGGCTGATCAATCCAAAAGAGAATGGTTAAAGGGTTTATGAGAGCTCAAATGTCTGAAAGTGTCTATGACCTAAACACTGGAGCCAGGAGCTCTTTCCTCGGATTAATTCAACTTTCTTATCCCTAGCTCAGAAATCAGGGCTTATCAGCCAGCTCTCAATAGCAAGCCAATATGATTATAAAAATAGTACTGATGAGAAATGCAGAGTGTAGATCTCATTTAAATTTAATTGAGATCATAATTGGTTAAATCATTTCTGAGGATAACTCACTTTAGGCCATTTTTAAATTTTAAACTATTTTAAAAAAGAAATGCAATGTCCTCTACGTCAAAGAAAATGATGTTCCTGTTTGATTACTTACTGATATAATGATCACTGTAGCCATCTAGACCCCTAAGGAAATTATTCATTCTAGATAGCCAACCTTTCTGGATCTGTACTTCCAGTATTGCATCGAATAGCCACATGTAACTATTTAAATCTCAATTTAACTGAATTTAAAAATTCAGTTCCTCAGTTGCAATAGTCACATTTCAGTGCTCGAAAGCCATATGTGGCTAGTGGCTGCTATGTGAGACAATGAAGACATAGAAAATTTCATCATCACAAAATAAGTTTTTTAACTTCAAAGAGCTCAGTGTAGTGGGGGAAGACAGACCAAAAACAAGTATTATAATACAGGAGCAGGTGCATTTGAGCTGAACTTTAAATGTTGAGTGGCTCTAGGGTTGTCAGAGATGTGGAAGAATGGTAATTAAAATGTAGAGAACAGCATGAGGAAAAGCACAAGAGCTTGAAAATTTGGGGTGTACCTCATGACCTAGAAGTGGTCTAGAGTGGTTAGTAAACAGGGTTTAGAGAAAGTTGTGTAGTGAGAGATACGTTCTGGGTTTCTGGGACAAGACCATGAATGGTCCTGAATGCCTGTTTGGAAAAAAGCAAAAAACACACCACCAAAGCCTTTAGATGCTTGAGGAGAAAGGTGGTATGACAAGATCTACATTTAAGAAGAACACTCCAACAGCTAGGCATAAAATGGAGCGAGAGTAGATGCAGGGAAGATGTCCTATGATTGGTCATTTGACTGCATGGAAGAAAAACTGCACCCTGGTTGGCAATGTTTGTTCTTGCAAAAACTAGGAATCGAGAGAGAGGCAACAGAATATGAGATTCTGTTTTAGCTGAACATCTGAAGAAAGAGCATGTCTAGTGGCAGCGTTTAGAAGATGCTGGGGATGTAATGATCCACCACGACTCTGGCAACAGAAAACGAGCAATGAGGGTCAGAAAAAAGCAGAACTGTCCATAGTCTAGTAAGCAGACAGACAGCTCTACACTTTCTATGTCTTCCAAAAGCACAGACAATGGGATCCTATGGGTGGCATACCAATGGCAAACAGCTTCTTCAGTGAAGTGCCCTTAAAGATATAGAACATATTGCATAGTAGTTAAGGGCATAGGTTCTGGAGACAGACTTCCAGTGTTCGAATTCTGATTCCGCTATTTAGTAATTGTGTGGCCTGGTAGATAGGTTACTTAAACTCTGTGTCTCAGTTTTCCTACCCTTAAAATAGAAATACTACTACCTACTTCATAGGAGTGCTGTGAAAGTTGATGAGTTCATACATATAAAGTATTTATAACATGGCCTGGTTCATGTAGGTACTCAATAAATGTTAGCAATTATTATCATGTGTATACATGCGGGACACACTTACTTGTGCTATGTTCAACAACACTCAAAGACATTAGTGCTATATCCAAGGGATGGGGATCATGTAGTTTAGCAGACCAAAGGGCATCTGCAGTATACTGTCCTGCATAGACAGCATGCCTTAACTATTACACATAATGAGTACCTTAAGTCTTTTTTGGAAAAAGACAGATATGAGTAAGTTTTTAAATTTGTAGATATTCTTAGTGATCCCCTTACATAAGCTAGTGCAAGCCAGCTCCAGCACACCACTGGCTGGTGTATACAAACCCTCATACCCCCATCCATAAGACCTGGCTTCATGACCCTACAACATACTCAGAGATATACTGAAGGGAAAAATCCATCAGACAACCAACTTCACCTCCCTGAACAGGCAGATCCTAGAAATCTACTCCCCCTCTAATTTCTCTCGGCCTCAAAGTACATAGGGAAAAAATGATTGTTTTGAGATCAAAGATTTTTTCTTTCTCCAATCAGAAAATGCCAAATTTTTTAAAAAGTCCTAATATGCTCCTTTTCATTTATATTTAGAGTGCTTGTTCCCAGAAAGAGGAATGGGGTGAGGGGTGTTAGCTAGAGCTTTCAACTCCACGAAAATTTGTCACCTAAAACCAAGTTTAATATGTAGCTTCCAATCAATCCAAAGCCCGGTTTTTCCAGTTCCCCTCCCTCTAACCCTGACCCATTCCCCCAAGTTCCCTCCTGCATTTTTTTAAGTGTCAAATTCCATTCAAGTTTAAAGAATGATAAAAAAGGGCTTGATATCATCCTCTTTTCCTTTTTGCTAGCAAGGAATAATATAAGAATAGCTTTACCTTAAGATATGTTAAAGTATAAAGATATCATCTTAAATAAGGATAAATTCTAATTACATGGTCTCTGAGACAATATATCCATTACCATCTTTCCAAAAGTCTCATAAATGGGTTCTCATAAAACTGGCCCTATCTCTGGTTCATTTTCTTGACAATGTTCTCAAATATTCATTGTCAAACGCTGAAGAAGAGTTGTCTACAGTGCAAGCATCCAATCATTTCCCCCGTATATGGCACAGTCTCTAATAAATTCAGAGCTAAGAATGACGGCTTCAAGAATGTTTCCTAAAGAGGTTTTTAAAATTGTTTACCAGAGAACTGCTACAAGCTCCTTAAGTATCTGGGCTCATCTGAAGTGATAACAGTTTTAAACAGCAGTCCCTTCTTCAGTGGAAGAAAATATGTTTTTCCCCTTTAAACTATTGAATTTAAAATTGAGAAACCATTTGGAAATTTTTTTTT